TCTTATCTATGTATAATTATCTTTCTAGTTGTGTTATAAAACGGCATTGAACGTTTGCCACATATGTATGTTCTGTAATCCTCCCTGAGTCCCCTTTGGGATAAGAAGGGCGGAATATAAACACTGTAAATAAATAAATAAAGCTGAAGAAATACAGTTCTTAAAATATAGTCACAGGTACTCAGGGAAACGTGCCATGATCTGACTTTTTTGGCAGATTGTAGTGCTTAGTTTCTGTAGGAATGTGTTTCCTTTTTGTTGTTTTGCTATTTTCTTATACTCATTAATCTCACTTGGTGCTGTTGCCAAGAGACCAGAAAAAAACTCTGTTATTAAACTTCTACGTGGTCTCTGTGAAATGGCATATATGGATCTCTTGTGCTAGCACAGTCAGATTAGGAACTAGAAGCTCTTATAAGATACAGTTTGAGTAGTAACATAGGGATCTCTGGTGTTTCTGGGCATTAAGTGCACTCCAATTCACAGTGGCACTCTCACATGGGTTTTTTTTTCAGTAAGTTCAGAGGAAGTTTGTCATTGCCTTCCTGTTAGGATGAGGAAGTATGTGACTTGCCAAAGGTCGCCAAGTAGATTCCTGTGGCTGAACAGGGATTCTAGTCCTACATGAACTCAAACCACAATACTATGCTGTCACTCAGAGAGGGCCTTCTCAGTAGTCGCCCCCTGCCTCTGGAACTTTCTCCTGAAAGAAATTAGAATGACCCCTATGCTGTCCTTCAGAAATCTATTGAAAACTTACCTATGCTCCCAGACATATGAAGATCTGGCTTACTAAATAAGGACTGCATTGTTAGATATGGCTTTTTATTCTGGATATGGCTTTTAACCCTGTTTTATTGAGTTATTGTTGTTTGTGTAATGTATTTTATTGACTTTTATGATGATTTATTTTATGACTGAATGTCTATTGTCTATTTGCTTTGCTTATTATTTCATGTTGTAAGCAGCCCCAAGTCCCCACAGGGAGATGGGACGGGATATAAATAAAGTCTGACTGATTGATTGACTCATATAGAGAGTTAAGAATGAGAAAATATCTGGCCATTGTCAAAACAGTGCATTTGTTTCCTTTTTTCCCTAGGGCCTTGAATGTATTCAGTATCTTCAGCAAGAATATCTTCCTTCACTGCAAGTAGGTCCTGAAATAATACAGGTAAGTAATCTTTGGAGCTGATATATTAAGAGGATTTGTTGGGCAAACCAAAAAAATTATTATAATAACAATAACAACAACCATCTGTCATTTGCAAAAGGCCACCCTACTGGGATCTGCACGCATTATTCACTGATATATCACATAGTTCTAGACACTTGGGAAATGTCAGACGTGTGATCCAATACAACAACCAGCATAGTGATCTTGTTTGCTGTGTACTAATCTGGTTGTGTTTCAAAACAACAACTTTATTTCTAGACTGCCCTCTCTCCCTAGAGGGACTCAGCACAGTTTACACGCAGAAAAGGCAAACATTCAATGCTTCAAAATGCGTACAAACACATCAAAATAATACAGGATAATGGATAATAATACCAATACACTTACAACAAAAGAATTCAGCATCGAAATAAAAATAAGACAGGAAGAATCCACTGAAACATAAAAAACTGAAACATGAGTAAACATGTTTCAGTTATCCCAGTTTAAGTTTGTCTAAGTGTGATTCTATTTGCCATCTTAGAGCAAA